TACATATATGAATTCCAAAATATTCGATTTCTTATACTTTTGTATCATTAGGTGGCAGTTCCTCTTTTTTTACTTGGAGCTCTTCAATCTTATCCTCGAACCCAGAAGGAAAAGAGAGAACATCATTTTATTTCTTATCTGATTTCTCTCCCATAATGGAACACTTTGTTCATTTTCGATGAGAGAGAGAGTTGCTAGTCATTAACTGAATGAAAGGACCTTTTCACACAATGGGTGTCTAATGAAGAAAATCACCAACATTCGAAGTATGAATACTTTGATTCAAAATACTGAAATGTATAATATGTTCCGAACGTAACTTTGCAGGATTGCCAAAATGAACAAAAAAAAGTTGCTTTTAGTTGTCTAAAGTGTGAAAATACCTCCTAAAAACTATTCGTTGCCTAAATAAGAACAAGAATTTTTCAATAATATGAGTAAAATTTTTTTAAATGACTTAATTGCCATATTATACCATGGATCCATTTAGTCAAGTGGGTTGCAAATCTGATCATTTTTATATAAAAGTTAGTGTCTTAGCACTCAATTTTTACATTTAAAAAAACAAACAGTATATTTGTAGAAAATGAAATACCTTTAATGACTAGAATACAAACAAAAAAAATACTTAATCATTCAAAAAATCATACTTTTTCAAAAAATTTTTCCCTTTTATCAATAATTCCCTTTATATATATATTATAAACACAAAATTTAAAGAAAAAACTATAAGAAATTGTCAGAAATGTGTCCTGTTTCCTATAAAAACTAGTTTAACTCCCACATTTCTAATTAAATGGTACAAAAGTAAAAACCATTTTTTTAAGAGTTCGTGAACTTTTAACAAACAGAAAAATATTTTTTCTGTCCTCCCTTAAAAATATTTTTACTCATTGCATATTTTATTTATTTTATAACCGTCATTGAACAAATAACCCAATTTAGGGTTTCCGACTTATAATTTTCAACTCCGTAGCCTTATCATTTTGAACCCAATCCAGAAGACGATGGAACTCCTGAATCAAGTATTGGGAGAAACTTTCCCTTCGTGGAGGACTTTTTGATGGAACTAACACGCACTTACATTACATGGAAAGGTAAATGACGAAAACCTCCCACGGATAGCCTGACGGCAAGGGGACTCTCACCCACAATCCGTCAACCACTGAGGATATTTTGCGTCAGCACAGTGGTCGGTTCGAGCCGGGTGTGGAATTCGTATCGACCAGTCATCGCAGGGATTTGTACCCGGTTCACCTCATTGAAAGCAAAAGTTTTATCCCCTGAGCCATCAGGGCTCTACTCCTCTCATATTAATTGATACAATAACAGAAGAAATTAAAATTAAATCATAGATTCCATTTCCCATTTTGTAATGCCTTCGCCTTCAATAAACTGTTTATACTTCCTTAATCCTTTTTAAATGGTACACCAGCTCAAAAGTCTTTAACGGCTATGACAGGAGGGCGGTGCCATTTTGATACTGGTCAGACGACATGGACAGCGGCTGAGCTGGTAACCCACCTTCTAAACTTCCATACAACAACCAGCGAGAGGACAGTAGTCGGCTGACTCACGATGCGCACAACTGCGCAACACGAGTTCTTCTTACGACAAACCTTGAATCATGGTGGCTCGAGCGTTCGCCTCCCAATCAAGTAAACCGGGTTTAAATCCAAAGCTATACATCGTCCGCAGCCGGCTTGTACAGACAACAGTGCCGACGTAAAATATTCTCAGTGGTAGATGGATCATAGGTTAGAGAACCCTTGCCGCTGGGCTAACCGTGGGAGGTTTTCGTGGGCTTTACTCTCCCTGAAACGCAAACGCGGGTAAGTTCCATCGAAAAATCCTCCACGAGGGCAAATTTCTCCCAATACTTGATCCAGGAGTTCTCTTGTCTTCTGGATTGGGTTAGAAATGACAAGGCTACGGAGTTGGACATTAGTAGTCGTAAACCCCAAAATTTGGGTTGGCTATTCAACGACGGTTTTAAAATAATATAAAATAAAACCATTTAAAAGAGCGTGGGCATTTTAAAATTAAATTTTAAAGAAACTTCAAAACAGACTTTAAAAATGTGCCATTCATCGCCTGAAAAAAATATTTTTTTTTTCTTCAGAGGAACTTGAGATAGTGAATACATAAGTTTCTTTTTGGGGATTCTTGTAAAAGAGATTATATAAAAGTAAAATGTGGCGAAAATGTCCTCCGCTTAAGCAAATCAGGAGGATAATACGATTTCGCAGACTTTTATGCAAAATATCCCAAATACTTTTTTATAAAAAAAAACACGCGTCTAAGCTATTCCGAAGAAAATTTAGCAAGATTAAAGAACTTAATCTTTTTGCTTAGAGATTTACTTTATGTAACATTTCACAATGTGAATTTTATACAATATTTGTTAAACAAGCAAAGATGTAAACAACGCAGTTAAGCTCTCATTCAATTATTATGTCCTTACAACAAAAGCCTAGTTTTATTCAAAAAGGAAAAATCAATCTCATTTAAATCCGATTTCCTGAATAAACAGGGGGTCGTTCAAATATCACTTCACACTATTTTTGGCGCAAAAACCAGAAAGACCCACTTAAGGACCGTCTTAATGGAATGTAGGAGGCCGGGATAGCCTGGTTGGTACTGCACTGGGCCCATGTCCAAGACGTCGTGGGTTCGATAACCGGCGGCCAAAGACTTCCCGTGTAGTAAATAATTACTGATGCACGTTAAATATGTCGGGGTCACAAATCAATACCTCTGGGGGTCAGGGACCGATCAAGACAAATTCAGGCCCACCAAATTTTCCGGGCTCCTTACAAAATATTTTGAAATTAAATTACTGAAGAGTAGTCCAAACAATGGAAAAGAATCTATTGAACTGCAGGATTCAAGAGAAACATTCTAAGAAAGTTGATTCTAAGTTGAATTGATTTTTCTGAGTTTACGTATCTATAAATTAAAGCAAAATATAAAACAACAAAATAATGTTATGTCGCAATAAAAATAGTTGGGTGACCACAAACAATTGAAATCAGTGATTTTTGCTAAAAACCGCGGATTAGCGGAATTATTTTTTTATCATCAACAAAACTTAAACCAACACAAATCTAGCCCACCTTTCATTAACTTTTTACTAAGTTTTGCGGCCCCTCAGAAATTGTGGGCCCTAGGCCCATGCCTATTGGGCCTAGTCGATAATCAGGGCCTGCAGGGAGTAGGGGTTTCCTTGTCTTCTGGATTAGGTTCAAAATTACAAGGCTACGGAATTGAACATTGGTAGTCGTAAACCCAGAATTGGATCGGCTGTTTAACGACGGTTATGAAATAAATAATAGAATATAGGGTCCCCGGAAGCAGAAATATTATGGGTCCCTATAACATGTCATATTGTTTGAAATCGAAATTAAAAAAAACATCACATTCATGAAATAAAGCATTTTTAGGATAATTTTAACAAACACATTTTCATTACCTCAAAAACTCAATGAAGGATAAAATAAAGCATTTTTAAACAATGCATAATTTTTTTAAAAAAATTGAGATTCTAATCAGATAACAAAATAGTTTTCGAAACCACGGAGGCTAATTAAAATAATTATATTAAAAAAAAACCCATAAAGGGTATAACAAATCAAGAAAAGAAAAAACTTAGCAGTTATTAAAACATTTTTCAATGCATATCAGTCATGACCTGTTTAAAAGTTGCTGTATCGTAGTGCTGTGTCGTTCTAAATTCTTTCAATTATTACTTTTAATAATTGACAGAATTTAGAATAATTGAGTGGGGAAGCTTTTTTTTTTTAGTGACATTATGAATGAACATTAAACTTGCTTCACATTAATTTCTTTCACAGGGGCGTATGCACGCGCAAATTGAACAGTAAGAACACTGATTTTGACAGAAATTGAACACTGTTTGAATATCCTGAAAACTACATTTTAAAATAGATGTCTGTTGACTTTTTAAGTTTCCTGGGGATAAACTATTCAAATGACCGGTGTTCACTTGATAATCACTATTTGTAGAAAGAAAAACAAAATGCGCGCTTTACAGAATAGAATATATTCATTTCAAAAAATATCTAAGACAATGTTGTTTATTCTAAGTTTTTTTTTTAATACAATTTGTGAAAAGTAAGATACTCATGGGACTCCCTGAGTGCTCGGTTATGCCCTTGGACCCCCCCCCCCCNGAGCTGATAAATTCTCTCTCTGCTTTTTTAATTGTAGTAAACATATTTTTGAATCAAATTTAATATTATTTAAGAATCTTTTGTTGTTTTGTTTTTCTTTTATGTTTTAAACTCTTGACTTCTGAAACCCTTCGAAGATTTTTTTTTAACAATTCTCTGCTTCCTCGAATTCAAATTTCATTCCAAATTTGAAAATTTTCACGTGTAACCTTTTTCGAAACCTGTTTTCAGTGGAGAATTCTTTTTTTAAAAAAAGAAGTGGATATTAAGTCCACTCGAATCCCAGAATCCCCAGGTTCGAATCCCAGAAATGGCAGGTTGATATGAATTCCGCATCCGACTTCCACCGACCTTAGTGCTGACGTGCAATATTCTCAGTAGTGGACGGATCGTGGGTTAGAGTTGCCTTGCCGTCAAGCTAACCTTGGGAGGTTCTTTCTACATGCAACGCAAATGCGGGTCAGTTCCATCAAAAGTCCTTCACGAAGACAAAATTTCTCCCAATACTTGATCCAGGAGTTTCCTTGTCTTCTGGATTGGATTAAAAATGACAAGACTACGAAGTTGAGCATTAGTAGCCGTAAAACAAAAAATCGGGTAGGCTGTTCAACGATGGTTATAGAGGAAAAAAAAATTGGATGGTGCGTTTTTCAAGTTTAGGCGTAAAAATCAGTAGTAACCCGAAAGTCTTATGACGAATTTTAACCCCTAGCGCCCTCTAGGCTTAGCTTTACATGGTAAACCATCCTTTTATTCTAAACGAATATAAATACAAAGCAGAAGAAGAAGAAGAAAAGATTGACTTACCGGCAATTTGTTCGTCTGAGAGTCCGTATTCTGCCTGCAAATGAAATAACCTGTATGAAACATTTAAAAAATTAAATAAATTAAACTAGTTTAAATCACGCAGTTTCAAATTCCTTTTTTGTGAACACATTTGCACAATATTTTTAAAAACTAAAGTAAACACAGTGGCGCAACAGTCCACCCTAGACAAAATGTTTGATGATTTTCCATCGGTGGCCCATCATACTCTTGATGGTAAGCATCAATAATTTCATCATGAACCATTATATTTGACTTGGGCCGTGTCTCGGAGCTGATCCAATATGAAAAGATTAAAAAGAAGGAAATTGTATGTGATAAGATTTTTAAAATATCGGACTGCGATTTAACGTTTTCACTGAGATCGAAAATATTATTCGCTAAATTGAGGATAATTCGTAATATGAAGGGCAAAATAAAAATTGACTAGCCTTATGGCATATCCAAACATTTCTAATAAAGTAAATATACAAAATAAATAGAAGGAATTATTCAGGAAATTAAAATACAGCAAATGAATTTGAAATTTCGAAGCATTTCGTGAGAATGATTTCTTACTTTAACAAAGTTCTTTTTCGACGTTATGAAAAGAAAGGCATTCGGTAAGTTTCCAAAGCATCAGTATCACTGCAGATTCATCGTGTCGCTATTCTTTGTATCTTATAAATCTACTTCATTAATTTCATGAAATTCGGTAAATAGGGTTTCGACTGTAATTCATAATTAATTGAACTGTTTTGAATTGAATTTTAATGTTCTTATTAGAAAAATGTAAACTTTTTTTAAAGTTTGATGGACAGGCTATTAAAACCTAATGAAATACACTGGTGTAAAAAAATTAAGAGAATTTGCAGGACTTGGTCGATTATCGCTAGAACTACAGAAACGATTTTAATTGATACAATACAAAACAAATGACCATTCGAAAATTGCAATACACACACGCAAGATCGTGCGTAACACTTGTTGGAGTCGGTGGAAGGTATGCAACAGCGGTTGCAGAATAAACAAACAAAATGGGCTAATAGGGGGTATGGACCCCTCTTACAGGAGTTGCAGCGTGATTTCATACTTGAAATAAGGCAGTTTATCATTTCCTGTGACAATTTCATACCTTCTGACACATACCAGTGTTACGTACCATGTGCATTACAATTGTTATATGGTTATTTGTATTGAAATGTATCCATGTATGTACATATCAAATTTCATTAAAATCAGTCCATTAGCTCTAGAGATAATCGACCCACTCTGCAAATTCTCTTAATTCCATACACCACTGAAATATGGATCACAGAAAAAAGTAAAAATTGCCAAAAATTAAATTTTTATATCTCTCACATACATCTTTGAAATTCATTATTGAATGCCCATGTTTTTTTTCCTGTGGGTTTTGTTATTCTAAATTCTACCTTNGGACGGTTTTTACCGGTATTTACCATGGTTTTTTCCACCTGCGGCAAAATCTTGCCCACCCTGGTATGTACATATCGAATTTCATTAAAATCAGTCCAGTAGTTCTAGAGATAATCGACCCACCCTGCAAATTCTCTTAATTCCATACACCACTGTATTATGGATCACAGAAAAAAGTAAAAATTGCCAAAAATTAAATTTTTATCTCTCTCACATACATCTTTGAAATTCATTATTGAATGCCCATGTTTTTTTTCTATGGGTTTTGTTATTCTAAATTCTACCTTCATTACAGAGGTCACTAAAATGACACTATCACGATCATTATTCATATTTATAATTTTATTTTACAACCGTCGTTGAACAGCCGACCCAATTTTTTGTGTTTACGACTACTAATATTCAACTCCTTAGCCTTGTCATTTTGAACCCCCAATCCAGAAGACAAGGGAACTCCTGCATCAAGTATTGGGAGAAATTTGCCCTCGTGAAGGACTCTTTGATGGAACTAACCCGCATTTGCGTTACATGGAGAGGAAAACCTTCCACGGTTAAAATAGCGGCAAGGGGACTCTAATCCATGATCAGTCTACCACTGAGGATATTTTACGTCAGCACTGTGCAAGCCGGAATCCACCTGTCATTGTTTGGATTTGAACCCGGTTCACCTCATTGGAAGGCTCTATCCCCTGAGCCACTACGGCTCTGATACCCATAATACGATACTATCATTATCGATCTATCAAAAAGATAATAGGGTAATGCATAGCGATAAGGTTTGTGAGAGCTGATAAATTTTATTTGAATTATAACATAATTTAATATTATAATTATATAATATTATTATTATACAATATTACAGAATTATAATATAAATGATCTGGAATGAGAAAAATATCGCGATACTTTGTAAAGTTTCTCGATTACTTGAGAGTTTGTAGCAACACATGGACTCTAATAAATTGATTTTAGGAGAAACAGAAATATGAATTTTTTGGAATTTTTCTAATTGGATAGAAAACAAAGCTCGATAGACAGTCCATAATGCCAATATTGTTTTCACCAAAAATTTTTATGTTTATTATGATATAAAAATTACTTGCCTTCAACTAATAAGGCATAAAATTCTTTTAAGGAAATACAGTTTTCCCGCTGTTAGCAATATTATCGAAGGAAAAAAAAAGGTTTTTATTTATTTCTGGCATCAATGTATTTCTATAGGATCGAAATATATGGATTTCACTTCTTATTGTTATTTAAACATTCAATAATGAGATGAAAAAATTTCTTTATAACGATGTTATATTATTAACTTAGAACCTTATTTTGGGATTCCGCAGTCGTGTTCAATTTCCGTTTCTCTCCCAGAAAGCCTTGCGGCATCCTTTTATTTTTACTCTCACGAAAATGTTTGTACTAAAAAACCTTTTTTCAATAAAGCAAAAATAATGCAGTTCCAAACCTTTCATCCTAAAAAGATTAAAAATGATTTCTTAAAGATTTTTTTAAAAAAGATTGTCACTAAGCATACAAGAAATTGAGGGAAGCTTATAATTGCCTAGATTTAAGATTATTTTCACGCTATAAAACCCTAAGACAACCTCGATTTACATGTTTTTAAATAGAAGGTTGCTTTTCATGGTTTTGGATGAAATAGAAGGTTGCTTTTCATGGTTTGGTCACACATCTCGTTTAAAGGTTAGAAAGATTGCACGTCCGCATAAAAAAAAACCTTTTTGATTTAACTTAAAAGGTTTTTGCTGAATGAAAATAAACCTTATTTCGCAATCTAGGTTTTGGTCTGTAGTATAGTTCAGTAATTCAATCGTCTTTCCTTTATTGTCCGTCGAAATTTTGCTGGAATAATTAACACATAGTGACGTCATGATAATATAAAATTAAAGGTCCCGTAAAACTCGGGGTTGGCAACCTTTTTCAGAAGAAAAAAAATATTCGCGCCAACTCAAACTTTTCTGACATTCTACAAATTATAAAAAAGATAGTATAATTTGTCTACGGTAAGAACTTCCCTCTCGACTAAGTCTCAGGCCGTCTACTGCTATGGAAACAAGAATAGCGCATTTTAGGTAGGGTAGTCTTTTCACTCTAAAGCTTATACAATTGACCGGGGGAAGAAAAAAAAAGAGTCCCTTTCTCTCGCTGAAACCTGCCCTAAACAGTGACCCTACACTCCTACTTGAAATAGTTATATCTCGTTACCATGGTCACCGCCGCGGGTTCAGACGAATGGCTTTGGGAGTTCTTACTTTAGACAAACTTTAGTAACATTCTCACTGGTAGACAGATCATGGGTACTTGCGGACGGGCTAACCATAGGAGGTTCTCATAATTTTCTTCTTCATGTAACGCTAATACGGGTTAGTTCAAGGAAAAAATGTCCCCCCCCCGAAGGGACTTTGCCCTCAATGCTCAATCTGGGAGTTCCCTTGTCTTCTGGGCCTCGTTCACAATGGCAAGGTTATGGAGATAAACATCGATAACCTTGATCTTAAAAATGGTTCTTATGCTCAACGTCGGTTATAAAAATGTAATAAAGGCTAACAAATGATATTTAAATATAACTATCTTATTATGCACATTCTTTGTTGTTGTAAAATTGTGTAGTCTAGATTTAAATATATAAATGCTTGAAAGTGCGAATTCAACATAATTTGAGTAGCAATTTTTTAAATTATAAACTCTAATTTTAAAAATCAGAATTTCCGATAAACCGTTATCATATGAACAGAAAAACTACCCATGGAATGGTTTAAATACCGTATCATTTGGTTTTACTAACCAGAATTTTAGATATCTTTTACCAAAAATGACACAACCCTAGAGTACGGTGATTTTTCCACACTATTTTTTCTCTTGCAGAAAAAATAACACTGAAGCCTAATTTGATAACACAATTTTTTTTTTTAATTTTGAAGTAAGTTTTTTGAACATTGCTTTCTTTTGTATTTGTTTAAGTATTATACTTTTGTATTTGTTTTTGTATTCTTTTCTCCCTAACTGGACTTTTGGCAAAATCTTTGGGGTACAGAGAGAGAGCAACTTAGACATTTGTCTCGATAGAAAAGGTTTGGCATTTATGACTTTCGGGACCCCCTGTGACGACCTCAGCTTCGGTTGTCATTTATTTATTTTTCATTGTTTACTTCTTTATATATTCTATAGGTTTCCTACGTTACATTTTTCACTCCAAATTGTATTGGATCTACAGCCAAGTATGTATTCATCCGACTTTATTTATTCACACTTAAATGTGTGATATTAAAACTAAATGGATAGAATAATTAGTTTTGACTTAATGAGAGTTATGAAGGTTCTATGCATAAAAAATACAATTTTGTATGTGCTCGACATTTCTATCTTGGGCAATGTTTTTTAATGTTTTGTTTGCTCGATAAATCCAAAATCAAAACTAAGATCATAAACAATTTTTCTAAAGGTGAATTTTTTTCTTTCTATTTATGTAAAGTTTCATAATTTTTGGTGTGTCTAATCCCGAACAGTGTTCAATGAAACATCAGAGTGAATAATGACAGGGATTTTAGTAACTAGTAATAATTACACCACAACAATTGGGAAAATACAAGGAATTTAAAAA